GGCGGCCGCCGCCGCTGCGCGGGCCGCACTCGCGGCCGCCTGACATCAGCACTCGCGCCCGCAGACCGCTCTGGCCAATGAAGAATGCGGGGCGACCGCCCCCCCCCCACGGCGGAGGGCCTGGCACCGCCCCTCGGTGCCCCACCCTGCCCCCGGCTTGGGACGCGACCCCCAGGGACCCCCGGGAGCTGCCCAGAGGGAAGTTAGGTGACCTTGGGGGAGGGGCCGGCCTGGACCGAGACGGCCCTCACCTCCACCCCGCCCCCACCCCCAGCGGGGGTGTCTGGCGGAGCAGGGCGTCCGGTCCCCGTAGTCCCGCGGTCAGTTCTATAGAATCGCGGGGAAGCCCTGGGCCCCCTTTTTTTCGGGGCGAAAAGTTGACCTCCCACTCCCCCCGCAAAAAAAAGTAGGGCCAGTGGCCCTGGCTGGATTACTGAGGGGGGAGACGGTGACCTGGGCGCTTCGGAGGTACGGTTTACAGGCAGCCTTTATTTTTAAGAGAAAAAAATGAAGTGGATGCGATGTCGAGCTTGGCAGGGTGCTGTGAGAGGGTGCTGGCATCCGCCCTACAGCATTCTGGGGTTACCTTTCCCCACGGAGGGAACACAGAAAGGGGACACGACCGAGTGGCCCTTACTGAGGAGACGGAGTGGGGAGGGGCTGCCAGCAGCTTGCTGTAGTGCTGAAAAATCTGGAAAGTTTTCCCTCACTGGGCATGCCCACAGGCCACCCAGCCACCCCAATTAGAGGACAGGAGTAATTGTTAATAGAGAACGAGGGTGTGGCACATTCTGGTGGCTACATATAATCTTCTAGCTCTGTAAGACAGTTTTTATTAATAATTTATGGATTTACTGATGAGGAAACTGAGGCATGGAGAGTGTCCTAACTGGCTGGTGACCCTCTAGTAAAAGGCTGGGCAGGGATGGGGTTGGATCCTGGAAGGTGGGGACACATAGACCTGAATCCTTCTGCTCTAAGCATTCAATACACTGAACTTGAGCCTAACCTAAAGCTATGCAAACGGGGGAATCAAGGGAAATAGCCAAAGCAGGACCAAAATAATGGCTGATAGTCCAAACTACTCGGGGTGGGACTCCAGAACCCTACCATCAAGTTACTAAGGAAGGAAAACCATTTCCTACACTCAGCTACCCCCAGGAAAGGCAGTGCCCAAGCAACTGGTTAGTGTCCAGGGATCATCAGTCCACTTGCTCCTTCAGTAATCATTCTGAGCACGAACCAGCCTGGCCACGGCAGGGTGGGAGAAGGGTCAGGCTCTGTCTCAGGGAGCTTGAAGTTTAGCTAGGCAGATGGCTCTCAAGCAGGAACTCCACGAGGCGCCTGGGTCATAGGCGATGGAGAGACATCTAAGGAATAAACCAAGTGTTGCATTTCACTTCATGGAGGGAGCCGGATCTTCATTGCAGGGCACTAGTAATGCAATACCTGGTCCAATGTGAGCCAATCTACGCTTCCTGAATTGTCACATCGACCCCCAAGAAGTGAGTATTCCCATGGTGTCAGTGAGAAAGTCGAGTCAGAGACATCTTCTCTTGCTGAAGCTCACACCACACAGGAGGACTCTACCCAGAACTGGATGCTATTGGCTGCTATGTTGGCATGCGTTTCACAAACACTTTACTCAGCAAGGCCCAGGGTTGAGTACACAGGACAGTTTGGGGAGCATCATCGTGGGTCATGGGTCCACCTCAAAGTGTTACCGAGCAGGGGGCTTGCTGCCCAACGTGCATAATGCTAATATCATGACAGCAGCTTTGGAGAAAAGTAAAAGCTTTATTGCAGTCCATACCTGAGGGGACAAGAGGAAAAACTCAGCTCTGCCTCCCAGGCCTGGAGCGGGATGGGGCTAATGCACTGGAGGTAGAGAGAAGGGGGTAAACAGAAAGGGGGTGGTTTCCACTCCCAGGAACTGATTAGTCAATTACAAGTAAGCCCACTGTAGGCATAGCTTAGGGGAGGAGATGGTTTTCCCTCAGTAACCTGATGGTGGGGCTGTGGATTCCCCACCCACAGTAGTTTGGACGATTAGCCATTATTTTGGCCCTGCTTTGGCTATTTCCCCAGTTGCACTGCTCTCTGGAAGACAGTCACTCATGCTCTCATCACTGCAGATGCAAGCTGAGCTTCCTCCTTAGCCCCGCCCCACACATTGGTCAAGCAAGTTCCATTTACAGTCATGCAGGAGCTGGAGCTGGGCCAGAGTCATAATCAGGGCCACTTCTTCAAATACAAATCTCAAAGGAAAGTTCAGATAAGTTTTGTAGCATGAAAAATTGAGATCAAATTGATGGGCAGCTTTACATAGAGGGGAGCAAGGCTTTTCTCATTACCTTTCCTACAGCCCCAGAAAGAGGATCTGTTCTCAGCTGAGTGGGAGTGAAGAACAGTGCGGAATCAGGTGAGTCAGCCTCTCAGTCTGCCACTTACTCACAGTGGGTCATCGCAAGTGACCTCTCCAAGACTGATTTCCACACACGTAGATAGGCAACCCTGGACCCACCTTGGAGGCTAAACGTGAGCGAGAGTATCAAACACCCCGCGCCGCTGAGAGGGCCCACACTCAGGAGATCACAAGCTGTAACAGCCCTGCTAACATTCTTTGACTTTCCAACGGTGTCAGCGTGGGAAGCGTTGAATGGAGACCAAGGCCAGGCACTGTCGTGTGAAGCTGGGCGGCCTCAGTGAGCCACAGCTCCCGGTCCAAATTTTCAACTTACAATATCTTCGACTAGCAATGGGCTTATGGGGATGGAAGCCCACTGTAAGTGCAGGGAGAGCTGTATTTGTTCCGAGGTCTACATGATATTGTGGGCAGATATGTTCAAGCTACACCCTGGGGTTGGAAGGAAGGGGGATGGGAAAAGAGGTGAGCATTTCTTTTAAATAAAGCATACAAGAACTGGGGAACAGGCCAGACGCGCAGGGGGTGTGGTGGTGAGAGGGTCCACCAGAGACAGAGTGGGGAGCAGAACAGGCAGATCCACTGGAACACACTGCTGAGGGGAGCAGTGGGCGAGACAGGAGAGGTCTGCTGCGCCATGTGGGTCAGCTCCCTGACTGGGGATTGAACTTGTGCCGCAGTGGCTGCAGACAGCTTCATACTTGTTGCACCACCAGGGAGGGCCCGGAGATGAGCTTGCTTAACTTTTCTGCTGCTATTTTAATCAAGGATAAGGGCACAGTGGGTCTCAATCTGGAGTGACACGTGGCAATATCTGGAGGCAACTAGGGATGTCATAGGGGATGGTTGTCACTGGCAGCCGATGGGTAGAACCTAGGGCTACTGCCAACTGGACCTCAATACATACCGAAGAGTCATCCAGCGCAGATGTCACTGGTGCTGAAGTGGAGAGACTCTGGACTAAAGGCCTTGCATGAAGACCTCCATAAAGACAGGTTCTGACCTCATCACTCACAGGCAAACCCTCTTGGCTGTGTGATCTCCATCTCCAACTTTATTTTCTCATCTATAAAAGGGGGATAATGAGCCCTGGCTCTCTCTTCCCTAAATAAACACAACACATTTTTGTTATTACTATCTTTACCTTCCCCAAGCTAGTGCAGGCTCCGGCTTATCCTCTCCAAACTAGAAAGTTCCTGAGAAAAGAATACGGCAAGAAGGCTTTGGTAGCATCGCTGGCAGGGTATGTATTTGTTTCGGCTCTGTGAGAGACACTAAGTAAGTGAGTGCTTGTAAATTATAAGGTGCAGTTTATAAATCAAGATATAAAAATGGAAATGCAGATGACTTTGGTTTGGTTCCAAGATCCTCAGCAGTTTAAAAAAAATTAACAGACTATCAGAGAGACACAATCTGTTTCCAGGAAATAGCAAGAGTTTTTCAAAATGTGAAATTTCTGTCAGATGCACACTTACTGGAGTTGTGTCTCTAGGACAAGCGCACACGTGTCTATAGGGGATGAAGTGGAGCGAGCGGGGTGGCTGGTGTAGGCAGCTCCCAGCATTTATCCATCCACTCACCTTCACTCCACAACTGTGACGCAGAAAGAAAGGGGAAGTGTACCTCTCCAGTCTAGCTTGAGCCAGTGGGTGATGGAAGTGTCATCTCTTGAGGCTTTTTACCTGTAAGAGAGAAGGTCTGACTGGGAAAGAGAGAGGAAGAGTTTGGTGCTGGATGCTGAAATGTCAACAAGGCACCACAGACTGAAGTGGCAGCTGGGTGGCCAGAGAGGATATAAGGAGGTGGTAGATGGATATTTCCTTTCCTAGATTAAACACTGATTTTCTGTCAATAGTCCTTAGTGTTTTGGATCTGTGATTGACAGACTAAGTGAGTGAGTGAGTGAATGACATTTTGGGAATACAGATGTGATAGGGAAGCTAACTCAGGTGCAGACAACAAGGAACAACAGAACTCTTCACAGGAAAGTGTGACTCTAAGGATAATGCAGTTTGTAGATCTATTTTTAGAGCAAAAATACTTGCAATTCTAAACTAACCTTGTAAGAATCACAGATTCCTCATCATGCTTCTAATTTCTCTTCCGTGTTTTCCAACCACACTCCTGACTGGTCCTCTCACAAGGACTATAAACTTTGGCAAACCTTCATGAACATAGAATGTTTCTGACTTTGATGCTTGCAGTAACAAAGAAAATTATCCATCCAAATCTCAAAGGCAATTGGTTTGAATGCTTACAAATTAGATTTACAGAGATTAAGGGGTGGTGAA